AGCACTCTTCTTGTAGTTTGCTGGCTTTAACACTGTATTCAGCTTTACATCAAGAAGTAGAATTAAGTAAAATATGAAGCAGAAGTGAATAGCTGAAGTTGAACTAAATATAAATATATTACTTTTATCCCAGCTCCCTAATGAGCTGTTTATTAGGAAAAATATCTTATATTGACAGTGAATGCGAAGTGCAGTCTCAAAAATGTCTCCATGCAAAAAGTGTACTTTGGAATGGGGACTTTGCTTCCCTTCAATTTCAGGAAATCTTTAAAGAAGTCTATATCACAACCTAAATGAAAGAGAGTCCATTGCTTTTATTTATTATAAGCCAGAATACCTGGTTTAGAATTTTTTTGTTTTATTTAAAATGAGATTTTTGAGGAGGGATATAAACTGCTATGTCTGCAAGGCAAGGAGAAACTCCCTACACCAGGCTTCCCATCATCTACAAAATTTTTTGTGTGGTTTTTTCCTTTTTTTTTTTTTTTTTTTTTTTTTTTGTTTTTTTTTTTTTTTTTTTTTTTTTTTTTTTTTTGGTTTTTTTTTTTTTTTTTCAGAAGGGCATGATGCAGGCTCTTTTCATAGTTATCCTTTTGGATACCTGGGCTGTTGCATTGCATGAGTGAGTCCAGGACACCTGACAGAGAGAATTATTAATACATTCCCTTTCCAAATCCTTCACTTTTGAGCATATCCTCCACCATTTCCCAGGGACTTCATGAGGTAAATCTCTTTTCACAAAACCAGTAGTGCTGTAATTAATTATTTTTTCAGCAGATTAAACCTCCCACCTTATTATCAGGTTTGTTTTCTTTAATAGATTTTTTTTTTTTTAAATTATTTGGTCTGGCTGCTTCTCCCCTCCTGTGGGACATATGGAATTGCCTTGTTGTTTTTTTCTTTCTTTTCCTGCTCTTTTCCCCCTTTGGTAAAGACAGATAAAGAAAGATTTCTTTTCTGTTTGTGCAGAGGTGGAGGCTAATTGCTGGGTTAATTGAGAAGAATGGTGCTTCTGATGTTCTCACAAAGTATCAAATAGCCTCAACATATTTCTCCCCTCTCTCCCTCACTCCACCTAAAGAGACCCATTGAATTTGCACATTACTGTACAGAAGTGATTATGGGCTTAATTGTATTTATTTTGCTTGGTGGGGAGGCCATCATAACAGTGGTTGATTGATTTTTATAAAATCACCCTCAAGGTCATGTGTAGGACTTTGCTTTCCTGTGCAGCCATAACAAACAATTTGAGGGTCACAGCCAACGGCTCTGCTGAGCAATATTCCTGCTTTCTGCTTTCAGAGAAGGGGTCAAGTGCAATAAAAGAAGGAAGCATAACTTTTATTTTCTTTTTTAAAAAAAGGAGAAGACAACCTTGTAAAGCAGCAGCTGTATATTTATTCTGACCCAATAGAAACCACAGAGGTGTAGAGGGACAATATGCAATTTTTGGACAGAAGAATTTGTAAGTTTGGCCAGAGTTTGTTTTACACATAGACTTGATAAATGGTTAAATGAGTCCTTCCTAATGCTTTCTCTTCTGTTCTGCAGTGCTGCTCTTCTTTTATCCTCTGCAGCTGAACTTTATTTTTCCACTGTATTTTCTCCCAAAGACCGAGCACCATTTGGATTTGTCCTGGGAGGTTTTCAGAAGCTTTGCAAAGATCCAGGGGACAACAGCATTGTGGAGTGACCATGAGTGTAGCTGATCTGCCCCTTTTTCAGGGTTAAATTTTGTGTCTGACTGCTGCTTCTAAGGGAAAGCAAAAGAGTCACATACAGCAAATCCCACAATCATAGAATTTTGGTTGGAAGGAACCTTAAAAAACATCTTGTTCCAACCTCCCTGCTGTGGACAGGACAGCTTAAACTAGACCAGGTTGCTTAAAGCCCCATCTAAGCTGGCCTTGAACACCTCCAGGGATGGGGCAGCCACAGCTTCTCTAGGAAACCTGTTCTAATTACTCACCACTCTCACAGGGAAGAATTTCTTCCTAAAATAAGGGCTTCTGGTATTCAAGTTGCACCAGAGGAGGTTTAAATTGGATATTAGGAAGAATTTCTTTACTGAAAGGGAGGGTCAGGAATGTTACAGACTTCTCAGGGCAGTGGTTGACTCACCGTGCCTGGAAGTGTTCAAAATGTGCATAGACCTGATGTTTGGAGACATGGTTTAGTGGTGGACTTGGCAGTGCTGAGTTAATGGTTGGCCTCTGTGATCTTAGAGGTCTTTCCCAGCCTTGGTGACTCTGATTTCCCTCTGGAAGGGTCAAACTTGCATGCCAGGTATGCACAGCTCCTGCTGCAATTCCTGCTGCTGCTGGGATGAGGTGGGACTATTGCTCCTATGTGCACCCAGAGCAGTTAGCAGCATCCAAGCTTCTCAGACACTCAGAAATCCACAAAAGGTATGGAAAATCTTTGATCATCATCTTGAAAATTTTGAATGGGCAAAATGTGACTGAAACTTGGGAAATCTTGTATGAGACACAATTGTGATTTTGCAATTGAAGGATAGGACAACAGTCTACCAGCCCTCCTGGTTCAGTGGTACAGCATGGCAGCAATCAAAACACTCATTAAAAATTGTATGAAGAGAAGTGGAAACAGAAATTACTGTATTTAACTGAGAATAGAGCACAGAAAGTCAATAAAGACCTTAGGGAAGATGCCTTTTTCAATGTTAGGAGTGAAATAAATCACAGTGATTCACAGTTCCATTTATAGATTGTGGTGATAAAGTTATTAACACAATTGCTATAAAGCAAAAGTATTTAATAAATATTTCTGTTCTCAGTATGGGAAAAAACAGGATGGTAAATTATATCATTAGAGGAAGATGGACCAGCAGTCCATTTATTGCCAAATAATACTAATAGAATGAAAACAATAAATATTATTTCAGAATACACATTCTTAAAATCAACAGGTCCAATCTCATTCAAGAGCTTTAATACTGATGCTGGAGTCAGATATCTTGTGTTGTTTTTCACAAAACAAACTGAAATTTGTTCTGGTTCTTCACAATCCACACACACAGTGTAATTTGCAAAGACTATATAAAGGCTCAATACTAATACATTTGTACATAGAAAATTATGTCTAAGGAAAGAGAAAATTTACACATAGGAGAGTTTGTGTTTTTGCAAGCAAATCTGTGGTCATAAGCAAGAAAATGTGAGATTTATCTCTTTCTTCAATTAAGCATATTCTAGAAAAAATTATGTAAAAAATTGGAAAGCAATTAAATCTGAAAAGAAAATATTTAATGGGTAGCCCCTATTCAAATACTATTTTTATAAGCCTAAGAAATGAGGACTAAGTCATATGACTTTGTTATAAGCTCAAGAAATCATTCAAACAACAAAATCCTCTCCATGTGAGAATTAAAAATGAAATCAGGATATGCAGAATATGAGCAATGGTGAGCAATGATCAAGATAGTTCTTAATCTGTTTTCTGTATTAGAATTTTTTTTTTTTTTTTTTGGTCTAAATACTGCAATTTATACAAATGTCTGATCTCCCTTCTTCTTGCTAAGATTTGGCAGTGTTATCATGAAATCATGGAACGGTTTGAGTCGGAAGGGACTTTAAAGATCATCTGATCATCTGGTTCTTCCCCCTGCCACTGGCACAGACACTTTCCACTATCCCAGGTTATTCCAAGCCCCATCCAACCCCAGCTTGGTCTTTAGCACTTCCAGAGTTGGGCAGCCACAGCTTCTCTGGGCAACCTGGGCCAGGGCTTCTTCACTCTCACAGGGAAGAATTTGTGAGGCAGGAGAGCCAACTGGGTGGTAGACAGAGAGATCACCATTAAAAATTACTTCCACCAGTAGCAAACTGGCCGTGGGATGAGCTTTTACAGGTATCAGCTACTTCACACAAGGGGAGCAGGGTAGGCCCTTTGTAAGAGGTGTGAAGCTTCCAGACTTTGGGAATTTCCCTACTCTCTCCTGGGAAACGTGGCTTGACCTAGGAAGGCACATCCCATGTGCAGTGTGACAAAATGAATGAGGCTCCAGTCTTTCCACATCCATTGCACAGAAAGTGACAGCGTCCTTCACAGGAGAGGAAATATAAAATAGATAATGGAAAGAACCATCCTGAGGTGACAGACTGGGATTTTCAGCTCATGAAAGGCAAGAACAAGGGAGGCATTTGACAGAACCAAAGAACTGGAGTAAAAAAAAATGGGATGGAAACGTTTTTTTTATGCACTATGCATTTAACACACAGAATTCATTGCTTCAAGAAGACGTTGAGACCAAATATCACAAAGACTCCAAAGACCATTTCTTTATTACTGGCAAATCTTATCCAGTTATACTAATAGTCAGTAGGAGGAAAATGTTGTCAAGGAGTTGAAACCTTATGCTTTGAGGTGAAGCTAACCTCTAATTAGGGATTAAATGAGGTTTTTATGGGACAGGGAGATCAACCCACATCCAGCTAAGAGGGAGATGTGTCTCACACTGTATTTGGAAGCATCTGGTTTTGAACAGCAGATGGAAGAATTTGAAGGATTAAATCAACCACTGATCTAAACAAGTTGCAAGTTCTTATGTTCCAAAGGAGTTTTCCTCTCCCCTCTGCCAGTCACAAGTAGTTTGTAATCTAAAAAGTAACATAATACAAATTAAGTAGGAATATCCCTGTTTAACATTAAGTGACTTAATTGGTTAAAATAGTGTTTTTCTGAATAGAGCTTCTTTTAACTCTGGTTAGAGTCTGCCCAGGCTGACTGGCCTTGCTCAAGTCTAGAAATCCAGATTGCTGTAGAATCAAAAAATGGACTGGATTAACTAGGTCTTTAAAGGGTTGATAAATCCATAGGGAGAAATAAAGAACAAGGTGGAAATTTCACAGAATGCAATAAAATTTTAGCCTTTAATTTTGCTGCAAACCCCTTTGTTTACCTACCTCTTACAGTTCCTCTGAATGTGAGAGAATGACTGAGTGAATACATGATTGCATTTTGTTCTTCTCTTGTCTTAGGTGGCAAACTCCTGTTTACTGGACCAGGACCTGTAGAACTGCATGCTCATTACATCCTGGTGTCTGATGGAGGAGAGCTCTGGGTGGGATCCCCTGAGGCCCCTTTCCATCACAAAGCACACATCTATCTCTACGGAAGCCTCCACTCTCCAGCATTATTTCCATATGGAGTCAAATTCCTGGCAGTGAGGAATGGGACCCTTTCTATTCATGGTGAGTACATTTCTTTTGTTGTCTAAAGCAAAGGATAAATGAATAACAGAAAACAAAACAAAGAAAACACACACACACACACACACACACAAAAATGAAAAATAATTTGACAAAACTTTGGTCATGATTCTCATGGAATCATGGAATGGGTTGGGTTGGAAGAGACCTTAAACACCATCTAGTTCCAACAGCCATTCCATGGGCAGGGACACCTTCCACTATCCCAGGCTGCTCCAAGCCCCAATGTCCAACCTGGCCTTGAACACTTCCAGGGATGGGGCAGCCACAGCTTCTCTGGGTACCCTGTGCCAGGGCCTCACCACCCTCACAGGGAACAATTCCCTCCCAATATCCCATCTATCCCTGCCCTCTGGCAGTGGGAAGCCATTCCCTGTGTCCTGTCCCTCCAACCCTTCTCCCAAGTCCCTCTCCAGCTCTCCTGGAGCCCCTTTAGGCCCTGGAAGGGGCTCTGAGCTCTCCCTGGATCCTTCTCTTCTCCAGGGGAACACCCCCAGCTCTCCCAGCCTGGCTCCAAAGCAGAGGGGCCCCAGCCCTCAGAACATATTCATGGCCCCTTCTGGACCCATTCCAACAACCCCACACCATTCTTATATAGTGGCATAGGAAAATTTAGATATGGAGCTTTTCTTGAAGACTATGAAATACGAGTATAAAATGGCCATTTCTTGGTGCAGGAGTTTGGACATGGAATTAAAGTCCAAACTCTATTCATAACACTGGTGCACATTTCTCAAGTTCTTCTCTACTGGGCTATTTTTAAAAGATCTACGTCTCATAGAGGAGGAGAGAAAAAAAAAAGAAAAAGAAAAACCATCTGAATGTCTCATCTCCCTTCCTCCTGTTTGTGTGTGCCAACCTTCCTGTTGGTGGGAGTTCATCCCCTCCAACAGGTCTTGAACTTCCACCCTGTGCCGTACAGGAGGAAATGTTGCTGTCTGAGCATAGAAACACGTGGCTTTTGGAAAAAAATGATGTCAGGCACCAAGAATACCATTGGAGCACAGGCAGGGAGTGAGTTGGGCTTCTGTGCCATCATCCTGCCATCCCACAGGAGCTGAGCAAGGCTGGGAGAGGTTGGGTTTGGAGAGGAGTCAGTGAACAGATACTTTTCTGAATCAGGAGAGATGATCAGGGGCTGAGAAAGGAGCTCCTGGAAGGGACAGGAGAGGTGGGGCTGCCCCTCAGCACCATGTCAGGTGCTCTTGACCCTTTCATTGAGACACAGAAAGGCTCAATTATTTACTGCCTGTAAAAGGCTTCAATAACTTCAGTGAAGTGTCTTTGCAAAGTGTTTCTACCCCATTTCCTGGAGGGTCTCTGTGAAGGAGGGCTATTAGAGCATCTTGGCTGAATCTGTTACTGGCCATTGAGTTTCACACAGTTATCCCAGCCCTGAGCTCAGTAATTCCCGTTAGATTAAAGCTTGCCTTCCAGAAAAGCTTGGTCTTTGAGGACGTCAAGGGAGACAGAAACCAGCATTTTCCTTAGAGGCTTTTTCCAGGGGATTAATTTGGTTAATCATCCATTTTTTTTTTCTTTTTAAAGAAAAGTATTGAGATTTGAATTTGCCTCATAGCAGCTTTTGCTGCTTCACTTTCTGTGTCTTCTGCCACTTTAAAGTGCCCTTCTATTCTTGGTTTGACCCCTGTAAGACAGGATTTTGTCCTTAGATTGTCAGCACTTTACAGCATGAGCCTTCACTTTTCCATGCTTTTTGTTTCCTAGCTAAAAAGCCAGTAGGAACTCTTGGCAGCTGTGCCTCTTGTGCTGCTTCTTCTTTCCATTCCAAACCTGTATCAAGTCTGCCTTTGTGACTCCATCACCCAATTGAAGACAAAAATTGAAGACAAACAGGGCAGAGCACATTTTGCAGTCTTACCTTGCAATGTGATGGAGGGAGGTAAACCCAGGCTTCGACATCAGTACCTTTGAGTCTTTTCTCAGTGATAATTTATCCATTTTATTCAGTGCTGTAATTCTTAGTGAGTCTTCAATCCCCAGGAAAACAAGAGGATGAGGTCTGCAATCCAAGTAATACCTGGATGGAGACATAGAGAGTCAAAAATGGCTTGATCCTTAGTGAAAAAAACTCTTGGTTTCAATTTTTCATAAATTATTGGACTATTGCAAGTCTTGTGTGCGAAGGGATGCTAAAGATCATCTAGTCCACCCCCATTCCATGGGCAGGGACACCTTCCACTATCCCAGGGTTCTCAGGATCCCATCCAAACTGGCCCTGGACACTTCCAGGGATGGGGCAGCCACAGCTTCTCTGGGCAACCTGTGCCAGGGCTTCCCCACCATCACAGAGAAGAAATCCTTCCCAGTATCCCATCTAACTCTGCCCTCTGTCAATTTGAAATAATTTCCCTGGTCCTGTCCCTCCATCCCTTGTCCCAAGTCCCTCTCCAGTTCTCCTGGAGCCCCTTTAGGCCCTGGAAGGGGCTCTGAGGTCGCCCTGGTCCTTCTCTTTTTCAGGCTGAACAATGCCAAGTCTTATTCTATTATTAATATTCAAACCCAATTCTTATTCAAGAAGTCATAACAATTTCTTATTCAACAGATCCAGAGTAGCTATGAAATCTTTTTTAAGCTCTGCAACACACACAGCCCTAGTGCATGGCTGCAATTATTATTCATTCAAACCATGTAATCTGCAATTTAACATAGAAGGAGTGGAAGCCTGCTAAAAAAAATGACAGAAAGTAGTGGAGTCTTTTACTGGGTTCATATTGCTCACCCAGAAAAAAAAATCTGCTGTTCTGTCTTCAATTTAGCATCAGTCTGGTCTGTGGCATAGAACAAATTGTGGAGCATGACAGCCCCTTTCATATACATATATATATGTGAAAGAGGCTGACATGCTCTGCAATACACATTTGTGAGATACATTTATATACACGAATATATATGTTATCTCAGATCAAAATCATTAAATAAGCAGCTTTCCAAATTCTCGGCTGTCTTGGCAAAGACAGGACCAGGCGCGTTTCAATTCCTTTTCTCTTTCAGGCCGGGAATGTTGGGGGATGCTCTGCAGCTCTGGTTGAGTTCAGATTGTTTAGTAAGCGCTGTCAGCTCCTCACTTTGATATGTTAATATGACTAAGGGTTTCCCACAATTCCCCCATGAGTGGCAGTCCTTTGCTCCGGTAGTTGTAGCAGACTGGGAAATTTCACTGTTGCCTTTGGCTTTAGCCAACTCCCCTGCCAGTCAGAGCGTGCCACCCATAAACTGCCTGTCAATCACCCGTCACTTTGAGAGGGGGTTTCAGCCAGCCAGGGTAACTCGACTTTTTGACAATGTAATTATGGCCCTTGCATCCGCAGTAGGGGCCTGAGCAGGGCTGAGAGAGTTTTATTGATTGTTCAGAAGGGAAATTTATCACTGTCTCCAGCTCCATTCGCGCTCTATTCCCTGAGAAACTCTCCTGACAAGCTTCAGGAGAGAAGTTCAGCATGGTGGCCTTGGCTGTTCTTGTGCCTTTGTCCTTCCCAGGGAAACTGGAGACACCACTGGATGCTGAGTGGGGGGAGGAACTGGGTGCAGAGTGGAGATGCTGCATCAAAGCAAAGAACACCCAGCCTGTCCTTGTGGCAGCCTGATCTTGTGGTCCTAATGCTCTAATCATGGAATCCCAGAATGGTTTGGGTTGGAAGAGGCCTTAAAGATCATCCAGTCCCAACCCCTGCGATGGGCAGGGACACCTTCCACTACCCCAGGTTGCTCCAAGCCCTGTCCAGCCTGGCCATGGACACTTTCAAAGGGGTCCAGGTGCAGCCACACCTTCTCTGGGCAACCTCTGCCAGGGTCTCACCACCCTCACAGGGAAGAATTTCTTCCCAATATCGCACCTAAACCCATTCTCCTACAGCTTAAGAACATTTATTCTTGTCCCATCCCTCCAGGCCCTTGTTTAAAGTCCCTCTCCATCTCTCTTGGAGCTCCTTTAGGCACTGGAAGGGGCTCTGATATCTCCCTAGAGCCTTCTATTCTCAAGGCTGAACACCCCCAGCTCTCCCAGCCTGGCTCCAGAGCAGAGATATTGCCACAAACTGAATATTTTACATTTATTTTTTATTTTCAGCAGTCCTGTGTAGGTGATCTTGTTATTCCATTGTGTCCTCATGAACCAGACAGTGATTCTTTCCAAAAAAAGACCAGCACTCCTTTGTCAGGCATTTATCTAAAACTTTGTGTCAGCACTCTGCTGGGAAAGAATGTGAGCAGTGAGCAACCTATTCTAGTGGAAGGTGTTCCTCCCATGGCTTCAGTTCAGGGGTTGGAACTGGATAATCTTTAAGGTCTCTTCCAACACAAAACCTCCTGTGATTCAGTGAGGCTGTTCCCTGAATTTTAACTAATAATATGTATCCCCTCAGTTAGATGTAAGATGTTAACACTTCAGGTTAAAAACATGCTGCATTTACCTTGTCCAAACCATGAAAGGTATGTGGTAAAGAAAAAAAAAATCTCCTGAGAGTTTTGGTTTGATAACATTGTTATTTATAATCAGGATAATTTAAACAGAGGTGTCAGTAATTACTTCAGTGCTCTAAAATCATGGCCAGTCCTACTTCAAAGAATGTTCCTGCATTTGCAATGGAGAAAATTACATTTTGACTTTTATCCCAGATATCTCTGTAGCCAAAGCAATCTGATACTTTTTCAGGGTTAGCTCAGAAAAAAAAAAAAAAAAAAGTATTTTTTATCAGTTGAACAAATTATTAATTTTAATTGCTTTTAATCAATAATAAAACACAAAATATTTGTGAGCTCTTCACTATGCTCTACAAAGCCTGTGCATTCCTCCAGAGATCAAACATTTAATCAAATGCCTCTTGCTTTGCCTCCATTAGGCAGTGTTATGTATCTGTGCTGAGCTTGAGATTAAGAGATCATAGACAACATGAGAGAATTTGTTCTGCTTTACTCACATATTAAAAAGAAAAGCTTCCCAGGGGAAAAAATATAAGGGA